ACGGTAGCCCATGGCAACCCACTGCCACAGGGGCTGCAGCCTACACCATCGCCAGCGACTCACGGCAGCCCAGCTCCAGGTTGAGCTGTTGTTCAGCGTCTTAGCCGTGGAGGGCAGTGTCACTGGCCCTCATATGTGGGATCCGAACCGGGGTCCTCTGGCGTCCCAAGCCAGCTCTTAACCATCGCGCCACTCGGGATGGGTTCACTTTTAAAAGCCCGTTATGGGCTAGAGAACCTCAAAGGCCATTTAAAAGTTAGAGCTGACAGCATGGGGGTGGAAGAGTCACCCCTGCCTGTGTCTGGGGGACGTGGGCGTGTGCTTGTTGCAGGGACCGCCTCGAGCAGCTGGAGAGGAAGCGAGAGCGCGAGCGCAAGCTGCGGGAACAGCAGAAGGAGCAGCGGGAACAGAAGGAGCGCGAGCGGCGAGCGGAGGAGCGACGGAAGGAGCGGGAGGCGCGGAGGGAAGGTGCGTGGAGGGAAGGGGCACTGCCAGGCCTCAGCGGGGCTTTCCTGCTGAGGGGCAGGCTGGTCTGGAGGGTGCGGGGGCCTCTGCCTGGGCACTGTCAGCGTGCGTGTGTGCTGTGGCCACGTCTGCTCTATGCACGCAGCATCACCGTCAGCAGGGCTGCGAGGGAGGTGACTGAGGGTGGCCCGGCTCCCAGCACCATGTCCGGTTGTGTTCCGTGCGCAGTGTCTGCTCATCACCGAACGACGAGAGAGGACTACGGTGACAAAGTGAAGGCGAGCCACTGGGGTCGCAGCCCACCACGGCCGCCTCGGGAGAGGTTTGAGCTCGGAGACGGCCGGAAGCCAGGTGAGGCCAGGCCGCGAGCTATGGGTCTTGCTTTTATCACAGTAAAGTGGTGTGTTAGAGTGCTTGTGGGGTGGCCGGGACCATAAATATCTGTGTCACATACGTTTGTCAGTTATTGGTCTCTTACTGGTCTTTTAAAGAGTCGCCTCCCAGTCAAGGGTCTGAAGTCGGTGTGTGTGGAAGGTACCGTCTGACCCTGTTGGTGTTAAAACCTCTCTCCGAACTCACCTGTGTTTTGCTCCATAAGTAAAAGAAGAGAAAATGGAAGAGAGAGACCTGCTGTCTGATCTACAGGACATCAGCGATAGCGAGAGGAAAACCAGCTCGGCCGAGTCCTCCTCAGGTGAGCGCACACCCCCGGCCGTCCCTCGCACTGCTGTGGGCGGCCCCCAGCTCACTCCTGGGGCTTTCTCCCTGAAGCGGAATCAGGGTCGGCCTCGGAAGAAGAGGAGGAGGAGGAGGAAGAGGAGGAGGAAGAGGGGAGCAGCAGCGAAGAGTCGGAGGAGGAGGAGGAAGAGGAGGAGGAGGAGGAGGAAGAGGAGGAGGAGGAGGAGACCGGCAGCAACTCCGAGGACGCTTCCGGACCGTCGGCGGGTGAGTGCGGGGCATGGGCGGGCGGCCTGCTGGCCTCAAGGTCCCTGGGGAGAGGACAGGGCAGTGCAGAGCTGCCTGGGTGACGCCCTCTTCCCCTGCAGAGGAAGTGAGTGAGGAAGAGGCAAGTGAGGAAGAAGAGAGTGAGAATCACGTCCTCGTCGGTAAGAGGCTCCCTGTGGCCGCTGAGTTCCTCTGTCCCCGAGCACAACACTTTGTGAGCGTTGTCAGCATGACTGTGCCTGTCTCTTACCGTGAACCGTCCTCCAAGGTGTGTCACGCCTGAAGCCACAGGCAAGTCCTGTCCTGGCGGTGTCCCAGGGCTGAGCTGACTCGCCGACAGCACTGCACTGTGCCCTGGGGCCTGGATTCCTCAGAGGGGACAGGGCTCACTCGGTGCCATACCGAGTGCCCCTGTGGCCTGCACAGAAGGAGGCTGGGACTCACCAGCCCCAGCCTGGCCTCAGCGCGGGAGGAAGGTCAACAGCCTCTCATGTCCAACTGCAGTGTGATGCTGGCAGGCGGCTGCATGGCCTGCGGGCAGCAAGCAGTGCTCTCAGGCCTGGTGGGCAAGTCCAGGTGTGCCTTCTCGGAGCTCAGCATCTGGTCAGTGGCTCAGTGGTCAGGGCAGAGGCGGCGAGCCCCTAGGTCCTGGTGCCCTCTGTCCAGGGCAGCAGCTCGCGTGTGGCACCCTGAGGTCGCTCCTGTGTGGCTTCCTCGTGCACTCAGTGTCCCCCACTCCCCAGAGCAAGAAGGGTGTGTGGCAGTTGCTTCTTCCTGGTTCCACAGTCGGGTTTAACCTTTGAAGTTCCAGAGTCACGATTTGACCGAGATTCCGGGGAAAGTGAAGAAGGAGAAGAAGAAGTGGGTGAGGGCACCCCACAGAGCAGCGCCCTGACTGAAGGAGACTTCGTGCCTGACTCCCCCACCTTGTCGCCCATCGAGCTCAAACAGGAGCTGCCTAAGTACCTGCCCGCCCTGCAGGTCAGATGCTCCCACCCCAGCCTGATTCTGTGGTGCTGACCATGACAGGGCCAGTGGCTGAGACCCGAAGCCAGGTCCCCAGTGTGGTTGTCACTGCCTTTGCAGTGAACATCGTTGGCAGGCTCGGCCACTGGCCTCCCATATGTCCATATCCTGGTCCTGCCTCTGGCCCGGTGGCATTGGTGGGAGGACAGCTCCTGAGGCCGTGTGTGTGGGAGGCATGCACACCTGCGAGTGGCTGACTTCGTGGTCACTTCTGCCACAGCCTGGGCTGAGTGGGCACCTGACCTTCATCACCCCATTGCTAGGCAAGGGGAACATGTCAGTAATGAGGATGCCACAGGGAAGGACATGGGAGGGAGCAGGTCCCAGGAGGGGCAAGTGGCCTCAGGAGCTCCAGCTCACTGTGGCCAGTGGCCCTGTCTGGAGCTCTCCTGACCCCTGGCCCGCTCTGGGTGCCCGGGGCAGTGGGCTTCTCTCTGGCAAACATGGTCAGCCACCCGCTGCTCCCGTAGCTCCTCCAAGTGGGGCTCCTGAGCTCCTGGCTACGTGCCACACAGAGGATGGCGTCCCCACCCTGTTTGCCACTGACCTTGAGGGTGCAGTCCACTGGCCTGGCAGGGGAGACGCAGGGCTGGGTGGTGGGGGGGTGGGTTGCTGCTGCCTCAGCAGCACCTTAGGGCAGGGGAGGGCACAGGGCAGTCCTGGCCTGGCTTCTGTCCCCGTTGCTTTTTAGTTCACAGTGAGAGCATGCGCTCACAGAAGACGCAGGAGAGGCCTGGTCCCCCCTGAAGTTTCCAGTTGGTTGTACTGCGGCCGCTCTGGAGGGTGGGGGGTGCAGCCATGCCTCACGCTGGTCCTCCCACTCAGGGCTGTCGGAGCGTAGAGGAGTTCCAGTGCCTGAACAGGATTGAAGAAGGCACCTACGGGGTGGTGTACAGAGCAAAGGACAAGAAAACAGGTGGGGAGGGTCCCAGGTGGCCCCCGAAAGGAAAGGGACACTGGGCCAGGGACCAGTAGCCCAGAGAGCCTGACCTGCAGGCCCGGCCTTGGTCTGTCCTCAATAGGAAGGCCTTCCTGAGGAGCGTCCCAAGAGGGACGAGTGTCCCCTGCTGCGTCTGCTCACTGTCACAGCCCTTTGCAGCCTCCACACTGGCTCTAGGAGGGAAGTTGGGCTTCTGGCTAGCTTGCAGGGGGCTGAGATCCAAGCCCGGGCCGTCCTGGCCCCTGGCACCTTCAGCCTCAAGGTCACTGAACACAGTGCCCTACGACCCCGGGAGTCACCCCTCCCTGGTGTTAGGCATGGCTTCACCTCACCTGGCCGGCACCTGGTAATGACTCACACCAGAGCTGTTGACCCTTGGTATTTCCAGAAGTCAGCTTGATCATGAGACTCTTGCTTGGTTGTGACAGCAGGTGACTTGTCCTCACAGGGGAGTGTGGAGTCAGCGGGGCGAGGGCCTGGGAGCTGCTGGGGATGGGCCTGGAGTGATGGCACCCAGACAGGTGTGAGTCACAGCCCTCCAGTGCCCACAGCCTGGTCTTGGAGTGTCAGCGGTTGAGGCCCTGAGTACCTGCTGACTGTTTCTGTGTGGGGGCATCGAGGTTTGTTACGTGTTCCCGTGGTGACAACTAGGAAAGGTGGGGACAGAGCTGACTTGGAAGTGCGCCTCATGTTTCTCGTGGACCCCAGTGGGGCTTTTCCTGGTGCTTCCATACATGAGCTCAGTACCTGCCGTGTGGTCTCCTGTGAGATGCGGTGCTTCGTGAGTCCCGACTAACCGTGGTGACAGATCTTCCCTGTTCCTGGGATAATGTCTGTAAACTGTTCTCTTCAGATGAAATTGTGGCCCTGAAGCGGCTGAAGATGGAGAAGGAGAAGGAAGGCTTTCCGATCACGTCACTGAGGGAGATCAACACCATCCTCAAGGCGCAGCACCCCAACATTGTGACCGTCAGGGTGAGAGCTGCCGGGGGGCGCTCGGGGGTGTAGTGAGAGTGACTCAGCCTGAAAACAGGCCCTTCACAGCCGCACACCCAGTAGGTCTGCTGTCACCGAGTACTTGTGCCTGGGGCTCCAGGTTTCCTAGGAACGCGGGAGGTCACAGGGCGCTTGGGGGGCATGGGGTCATAGTCTGCCGCCACCCTAGGAGATAGTCGTGGGCAGCAACATGGACAAGATTTACATCGTGATGAACTATGTGGAGCATGACCTCAAGAGCCTCATGGAAACCATGAAGCAGCCCTTCCTGCCAGGTAGGCGTGGGCCCAGCAGTGCTGTCCATGTGGTTCACTGGCCCTGTCCCCGAGGGCTGGCCATGTTGGGCAGCCCAGGCTGCAGGCTGTGTCCCTGGGGGCAGAAGGGGCGCTGGCTTACAGCCCTGAGCCGACATACTGAGCGAGCAAGTGTGGGTACGTACGTTCGTGCGAGCAAGCGAGCAGGCCGCACGGGGCTGGGCGCACTTGCAGGCGGTACTGCTGGGACACCCAGTGGCTGCAGGGCGGGTCCATCGGGCCAGCTGAGTGCTGCGCAGCAGCCACAGCCGCTGTCGCCCATCGCCTGCAGGGGAGGTGAAGACGCTGATGATCCAGCTGCTGCGGGGTGTGAAGCACCTGCATGACAACTGGATCCTGCACCGTGACCTCAAGACGTCCAACCTGCTGCTCAGCCACGCCGGCATTCTGAAGGTGGGTCCGCCGTGCCCGGGGCCCCGGCTGCCTGCCACTTGCCGCCCACTGCCACCCTGTCCCTGTCTCACAGGTGGGAGACTTCGGGCTGGCACGGGAGTACGGGTCCCCTCTGAAGGCCTACACTCCGGTCGTCGTGACCCTGTGGTACCGCGCCCCGGAGCTGCTGCTGGGCGCCAAGGTGAGTGCCGGGCCGTAGGGGCCTGCCCTGCGTTTGGCCCTGCCAGCCCCTGAGCGTGTCCCTGGTCCCCAGGAGTACTCCACGGCTGTGGACATGTGGTCCGTGGGCTGCATCTTTGGGGAGCTGCTGACTCAGAAGCCCCTGTTCCCTGGGAAGTCGGAAATCGATCAGATCAACAAAGTGTTCAAGGTGGGTCCGTGCGCCCTGTGGTGGGTACGTCCCCGCAGGTCATGGCTCTTCTGAGACATCCCTCTTCTAGGACCTGGGGACCCCCAGTGAGAAGATCTGGCCTGGCTACAATGAGCTCCCTGCAGTCAAGAAGATGACTTTCACTGAGTACCCCTATAACAACCTCCGCAAGCGCTTCGGGGCCCTGCTGTCAGACCAGGGCTTCGACCTCATGAACAAGTGCGAGCCCCTGCCCGCCCCCGCCTACCCAGACCCCCTTTTCCAGCTCCGCCCTGGCCTTTCCCAGCCCCTCCCACACTGCAGCATTGGACTCCAAGTGCCTTTTCTCTTCAGGTTCTTGACCTACTTTCCTGGGCGGAGGGTCAGCGCTGAGGACGGCCTCAAGCACGAGTATTTCCGAGAGACGCCTCTTCCCATCGACCCCTCAATGTTCCCCACGTGGCCGGCCAAGAGCGAGCAACAGAGGGTGAAGCGAGGCACCAGCCCGCGGCCCCCAGAGGGAGGCCTGGGTTACAGCCAGCTGGTGAGGGGCGGGCTGGTGGGGGAGGGAAGGTGTGTGTGTGTGGGTCTCCGAGGTGGGGCTGGCTGGGCTGGGTCACCACAGTGCCGCTTGCTTCTCAGGGTGACGATGACTTGAAGGAGACTGGCTTCCACCTCACCACCACAAACCAGGGGGCTTCAGCTGCAGGCCCTGGCTTCAGCCTCAAGTTCTAAGGTTCAGAGTGGACCCCAGACCAACCCCCGGGAGCTGACTCTCCAAGCTGAGCTGGGACCAGGGGCAGGTGCTGAACCAGTCCTGCCCCCACTGGATGCAGCTGCCTTCGCCTCGGCTGCCATGAATAGTGACCTCAAGTTTTGGACTATTGGTCCTGTTGGTTTTCCATGTTTCGTTTTTATTTTATCTTGATTTGTAAATTTGTAGAATTAAATCATATTTCTTTGTGGAAGGAAAGGCTGTGTTTTTTCAGATGTGTCAGACTTGCCCCACAAGGAGATGGCAGGTGTCTGCAGGTGGCCAGTGTGGACGGCACACGGTGACCATGGGCTGCGCTAGTCAGATACTGGCCGTGATTGGAAACAAGGGGATTTTCCTGCTTTTTCATGTTCAGGTTCCTGCTTGGCACCTTCCTGCCCTCACCCAGGGCATCCACAGCCCCATGGTCCCCAGGTCCTCCGGAGCTGGGCATGTGAGCTCGGCCACAGTGGGTTTTTGTACAAGGTTGTTACGCATTTTAAGATACAGTAAAATATTTTTGGAGGAAAGTTCCGGTGTGTCCCTTCGGTGGCTGGCATCCAGCTGGGTCCTGGGCCAGTGCTGCGTGGGAGGGGCCTCGGGCCCCCGCTCTGGGAGGAAGACGAGCACAGGGTGAAGGGCTGCCTGCGCCCCACGGGCCAGGCTCTTCCTGGCCTTCCGGGCCTCCTGCACGTGGTCTAGCTGGCCAGGGCACCCCCTCAGGCAGAGGGGGGTGCTTGCCGCAGCCTGGGGACCTCCACCAGTCAAGCCAGCCCTGTGGGTACCACCAGCCCCTCCCCAACTTGAATGCTCACCCGCCCCAGCGCCCATCCCAGAGCCTAACCCACCCCAGACAGGCTTCCCACTTCTCCCACCCCTGAACAAACCCAAGAGGGCCCGGGGGCCACCTCCAGCGGCCAGTCGGCTGCCCAGGTGATGGTACTCGGGCCTCCTTCACCCTGCCTTTCCCGGAGCAGCCTGGAAAGAGCCCTTCTTGGCCCCTTGGTCCCTGCAGATTGCATCGTCACCCCAAGGAACTGCGGGGAAGTTGGGCTGTTCTGCTGGGCACGGGCGAGGTGGCCCCACCCCGCAGGGCCCAAGGCTGGCCGCGCCCTTTGCCCTCCCAAGAAAGGGCTCGGAGACGTCAGAGACAAAGTGCTTTATCAGCGGACCCCGCGGGAGGGCGCTCAGCTCCGCACGCGGACTCGCCAGGAGTAGGTGCTGAGCACGCGCTGCCGCCGGCGCACCACGCACGTGTACGTGCCCTCGTTGATGGCGTTGGCGATGATGCTCAGGTGCGCCTCGCCCAGCGCCAGGTAGCCGGGGTAGGAGAACTCCAGGGGCTCCTGATCCTTGTACCAGCTGCGGGAGGCGGAGAGCGGCAGGGCTGGGCAGGGTCCCGAGCCCCCCGCCCACCCTCGCTCTGGCGGGCGGGTCACTCACTACACTTTGCCTTTCTTGTGCAGGATCTTCTGGCCGCAACGGAAGGTCACATTTCTGCCCTCGGGCACCAGCCTGGTTTTGGTCCTGGGGGGCGGCGCGGTGGCGGCCACCGTGGGAAAGGGGAATTCTGCTCGGGTTGGGGAGGCCACATCAGTGCCCCTCCCCGTCCCGCCCCGCCCGGGCCAGGGCTGGGGACCTGCCGCACCGCACCGTAGCAGAAGTCGCAGCTGCTGGGGCACAGCCTCTTCATGAGCCTCCGGCGGGCGTCGCAAAAGCCCCTACGCGCCCAGGACGCGCACACGAACAGCCGGTCCAGGCAGCCTGCGGGACGGCCGCCTTGCCTCAGGGCCCGCCCGGCTGTCCCGCGCGACCCCAGCCGCCCGCCCTCCCGCCCCGGCGCTCACCATAGAGCCGGTGCAGCCCCCACAGCTCATCCTGCGACAGTGCCTTCCAGCCGCGCAGCGTGGCGTTGAGGTGCATGAGCGCCCGGCCGTGCTGCGAGTGCATCAGGCCCAGCGCGTGGCCGACCTCGTGGGCCGCCACGTGCACCAGGTCGGTGAGCCACACGCCTGCAGGCCCGGCGGGTCAGCGCCTCGGACTGGCCCGCCCGCCGCCCGCCGCCCGGGGCCTTGCTCCCGCGCCCGCACATCTGCGTCAGTGCGCAGCGGGGCCTCCCGGGCGCAGCCGCGGGCAGATAAGAATGTTCCAGGCCCGCGGAGGCGGTGAGCTCGGCCCCCAGGAATGCAGCTCCAGCCCGGCTCCAGCGGCATGGGGGTGGGGGGCTTCAGGGCTCCTGGAACCCAGGCCTGGGTTCTCCTCACCGCCTCCCCCTCCCAGACGGCTGACCCCACCCCACCCGCACCCCCAAGCCCGCCGCTGCGCCCACTGTGGTGCGCAGGGCCCCACCGGCGGCCGGGTCTGCCGTCACCTTTCTTCCAACTGTAGCGCGTGGGGCCCAGAACCCAGTACTCGCTGTCGTCAAAGTGGATGCCGCCGTGCGGGGGAAAGAAGGCGTGGGCCAGCTCGCCCGTGGGGCCGTCGAAGCAGTGGTGGAGCGCCGACTCCAAGCAGTCCGTGTGGTTGACCGGGTAGAAGCCTGGGGGAGCACAGGGCTGAGACGGCGCCTAGGGGCGGGCGGGGGCGGGGGCACGGCGCCCACCTATACGCAGGTCGCTGGGCTGCTCGGGGGCCACCTCTCGGAAGCTGAAGGGGGACACGTCACTCCACATGCGGAAGGCGGCGGCCAGGCCCCGCCGGGTCTCGCTGGGGCTCAGCAGGTTCCGCGGGAAAGAGAGGATCCTGGGGTGGGGGCCAAGGTCAGGGGTGGCGGCCAGGCTGCTGCCGCACTCCCCCCAGGGCCAAGGTCGCACCTGTAGGTGAGGTTGAAGTGGTCCCAGCGCAGCCTGGCCGGGGTCAGCGTGTAGCGGCGTCTGCGGGGCGCCTGAGGGGGCAGCGGACTGGGGCCCGGGGTGGGGAGGACCCTCGCGGGGTGCGGCGCGGCGTCTCCCTTCAGAGGAAGCAAGTGCTCTGGGGACGCCGCAGGGGCTGTGCCCAAGTCCGAAACTCGAGGAAAAGGGACTAGGAGTTGACAGGGTGGAGGGTGCATGGTGGGGGCAGCGTTGACGCTTCCATTTTTTGCTTTTCTGCGTTTCCTGGTTTTCTACCCCAAGCGAGCGTTACTTTTACAGCCAGAGAGAAAAAGGTTTCTAACGACAAGCCAGGTCGGAGTGGGCGGAGCTGGAGGCCCCCACCCCCATCCCCGCCAGACACACGGACACTCAGACTCCCGCGCTGGACCGCAGAGCCGGGACGACTCACCTGCGCTGCGCTTGCGGCGGACCGGGCCGCCGGGGCCCCCAGCCGGGCCAGCAGCACGAGCGCCGGCAGCAGGCACAGGACGCCCAGCGCGGCCCTCAGCCAGCCGGCCTGTGCGCGAACCCCCGACGCCAACCAGGGGACCGAGGCCCCGCGGCCCATGGTGCTGGCGGACTCGCTGTCGGGGCTTGGGGTGCGTGGGCTGTGGGACCTGCCAGAGCCAGAGGATCCGCTGGGAGAGGCGCCGCAGCGGCTCGGGTTACAGCCCCCGGGGTGGGGGTGGGGGCGGGGGCGGACTTCTTT